CCACGAAGCGTTGTGCTCGTTGGGCGAACATGCCAAATTGGATTCCTGGGGCGCACGCGGACGGTCTCATTGGGGGTTTCGGTGGAGTTCTCTATGGGGCCACGAAGCGCTGCGTTGGGCGGGTGAAAATGCGAGAAATTGGGTTTCCGTGACGCATGCGGACGGTCCCACTGGGGGCTTCGGTGGAGCTCCTTATAGGGCCACGAAACGTTGCGCTCGGCGGGTGGAAATGCGAAAGATTGGGCTTCCGTGACGCATGCGGACGGTCCAACTGGGGGCTTCGGTGGAGCTCCCTATGGGGTTACGCAGCGGTGTACTGGGTGACTGAAAATGCCACATTAGGTTTCCGGGACGTACGCGGATGGTCCCAGTGGGGGTCTCGGTGGAGCTCCTTATGGTGCCACGAGGCGTTGCGCTGAATCGGTGAAAATGCGAAACATTGGGCTTCCGGGGCACATGCGGACAGTGGCACTACGGGTTTCGGTGGAGCTCCCTATGGGGCCACGAACCGCTGCGCTGGGTCGTGAAAGTGGGAAACGTTGGGCTTCCGGGACGCATGCGGGCGGTGGCACTACAGACTTCGGTGGAGCTCCCTATGGGGCCACGAACCGCTGCGCTGGGTCGGTGAAAATGCGAAACACTGGGTTTCCGGGACGCATGCGGGCGGTGGCACCAAGGACTTCTGTGGAGCTCCCTATGTCGCCACGAAGCGCTGCGCTGGGCTGGTGAAAATGCGAAACATTGGGTTTCCGGGACGCATGCGGACCGTGGCACTACGGGCTTCGGTGGAGCTCCCTATGGTGCCACGAAGCGCTGCGCTGGTCGGTGAAAGTGCGAAACATTGGGTTTCCGGGACGCATGCGGACGGTGGTACTACGGGCTACGGTGGAGCTCCCTATGGGGCCACGAATCGCTGCGCTGGGTCGGTGAAAATGCGAAACATTGGGTTTCCGGGACGCGTGCGGACGGTGGCACTATGGGTTTCGGTGGAGCTCCGTATGGGGCCACGAGCCGCTGTACTGGGTGGGTGAAACGCAGGGTGGGAGGAGGATGGGGGCGGGGGAGGAAGGAAGGAGGGAACGCGGGGACCGCCTCTTCAAACCGAGGACCCAACACAGGATTGTTGGGAAAAACAGGCTTGGTGACCTGGGAGCCTGAACCCCGAGGAGGTGTCGAGCGGGAGCCTCGTCTGTGAGTGAATTGCGAGGAAGTCTCGAGCGGGAGCTCCCTCCTGTGGAGTGGGGCTCGCAGCTCAATGTGTTTTTTTTTCAATCCGAGGCGGCCATCGGCAAAACTTGTGACACGCGTGAGCCTGAATTCTGAGGATGTGGCGAGCGGGAGCCCCGTCTGTGAGCGAATTGCGAGGATGTCTCGTCCCGATGTGTCCCGCAGACTACGCTTTGTAATCCGAGGAAGCCTTTGTAATCCGAGGCGGCCATCCTCAATCAAGATTGTAAGCGTCGGCAAGGACCAGCAGATACTAGACAGGAAAATGGCCTCCACGGTCACAAGGACGATGATGAGCATTACTTTCAATATTAGTTTGGAAATTATCATGTGGGGTCCGATCGTCGCAATGCTCCCAACTTTTTTAGCCAAGTAGGCTGCTGCACAAACAATGATACACCGGAGGACATCCTGGCTGGATGGTTGGCGAAGTATTTATTGGCACTGCCTATAAGGGCCTATATGGCATTCGACAGACGCCGCAAACACAATTTTTTGCTGTGCCAGTCATGGTTGCTTCGCAGCGTAGCGGTCTTATCCTCGCCCAGCAGGCTTGGAGATGACACTTGTTCGATCGGGAAAGGCATATTTGGAGTGTGTGTGTGTGCGAGGTGAAGACCAGAGGGTAGGTGGGAGGGTACGGGATGTCACCTCTCAGAATGATGCCGAGGACTTCCCATCATACATAATGTATCCAGCTAATAAGCCTGTTTGTCATATGCAGGGGGGACAACCAATTTTCCACCGTATTGCCATCTGCCGCTCCTTGAGCTGACCGACGGCGAGCTGACAGACCCTTGTCAGTGCGCAGCGGGCTCGGGTGGATATAGAATGGCTGGCGGTGTGCTGATTGGCCTTCTTCGCCGTTTTTGCTTGTGTTCTTTCCCTCTTTTCCATGCCTCCTCTCTCCTTCCCCCTGCCATCCACCTCCCCTTCTCCGCTTGAATATCACGTCGTCCCCCCTGTCATCCGCGATTGCTCGAGTAACAAGAGCTGGAGAAAAAGAGAGGGAAGAGCGGAAAACGAAACCGATTATGATGATGATGATGATGATGATGATGATGATGATGATGATGATGATGATGATGCTAGTGATGATGATGATGATGATGATGATGATGATGATGATGATGATGATGATGATGATGATGAGTATTGGTCGGCCGCTCTGCTGTTAATCGGGCGTTTCTGAACATTCGTGAAACAAAGCGTGCGCCTGGTTCGCCCGATTCGCCGGGAACGGTGTCAAGAGGCATGTTTGCAGAGATATCGATCATATGCTTGCGCCTGTCCGCAGCCATCTCGGCAAAAGAATTTAGCATGGTAGCGAGAGCTGATCAGCCCCCTCCCCGCGTGGCAGCGGACCCAGCGGCCGTAGACAGCGGTGTCGAGCTGGTCGACGAGCTGGCCGAGCGCACCACCAGACAGGTGCAGGACCGCTGGGCCCTGGTCGTGGGCCTTCTCTCCAGGCTCGCATTCAAGAGGCGCTGCTACGGTCACCTCGGACAGTGGTTGAAGCAGCTGAAGCAGCGCAGCTGTCTCCAGGATGACGGAGCAGCGCGTGGCGGCGCTGGAGCGGGTGGTCAGTGAGCTGCGGGACTTCAACCTGCAGCTCAGGGGCGCGCTCGACGAGCTGCGCGCGGTGGCAACGGCAGCGGCATCACGGCCTCAGACGCGGGAGGTGGTTGACACACGGCTCATAGGGAAGCCGAAGAACTTCAGCGGGAAGGGCGACGACTGGCACCAGTGGTCGATAACGACACGGGCACACGCGGGCGCCATGACCGAGCGCTTTTTGTTTCTCATGGACACGGCCGAGTCGGCCGAGAACGCGTCCAACGCAGCGCTGCAGAACGACAGGGACAAGGAACTCAGCATGCAGCTCTACTATATCCTCGCCCTGCTCCTCGAGGGCAAGGCGGCGGAAAAGGTTGCATTGGTCGGTCGGGGACAGGTTTTTTTTTCTCTGGCGACAGCTCACAGATCAGCATGAAGGCAAGGCGGTGACGAGGACCAGTGGGCTGTTCCAGCAGGTGATCGGCTTCGGATTCCAGCCAGACGACCTCTTGCACGAGCTCGAGCGGTTCGAGAAGACGATCCAGCAGTACGAGCATGCGTCGGACAGGCAGGTCGGTGACGATCTGCGCGTCGGCGTCGTCACCAAGAACATCAGGCAGGAGGATGTCGCGAAGCACTTGATCATGAACTCTGACGGGCTCGACACCTACGACAAAGTGAAGAGGGATATCGTCGGCATCTACAGGACGAAGAAGCACTTGACTCAAATCCCGGCCCCCATGGACGTGGGCGCGGTCGACCCTCGGCTTCGTTGCGACGTCTGTGGCAAGACTGGACGCAGTAGGCAGTAGTGTTGGTATCAAGGACGCCGTGGAGGCCGCGGCAAAGGCAAAGACGGCGGCTCGAGGGCAAGGGCAAAGGCAAGGACAGGGGCTCGAAGGGCAAAAGCGAGGACGGCAAGGCCGGAGGAGAGCGAGGTCACGGAGGCGGCGCTGGTGCTGGCAAGGGCGGCGCCTCTGACTACTTCAATGGCAAGTGCGGATTCTGCGGCATCTGGGGGCACAAGAGGTCGCAGCGCAGGAAGTCTCAGGCTGCTCGCGCCAACGAGGGCAATTAACGCTAGGGGGGACAGCTGGGAGACCAGCAGCAGCAGCAGCATGGACAGCTTCCTCCTCCACCTCAGCCTCATGCCCAGTCTCGTTCTGCGACGTCGACATCGTTGGCATGCACACAGCAAATGGGATGCTACTCGTTGCAGCTCTGCTCCCTGGAGCGTGGGGGAGGTGAGGTTTGCGCGATCCACCGCCACAGGCGTGCGAAGATCGGCGCGGACTCGGGCGCAGGTGAGGTTTGCGCGATCCACCGCCACAGGCGTGTGAAGATCGGCGTGGAGTCGGGCGCGGGCGCGACGGTCTGGCTTAAGGACTTGTGCGACGACTACCCGAAAGCGACACTCCAGAGTCGAGGGTTGGGTTTGAGCACGTCCCTGCCGGCATGGGAAGCAAAGGCGTCGTCGACCTCGGCGAGCGGACGTGCAGCCTCACCGGCGACGACGGCCAGCGCATGAACATGAAGGTGCGCGTCTGCGACGTCCGCAAGCCCCTGCTGAGCCTGGCGGAGATGAGCGACCGAGGCCTGGACGTCCACTTCGTCGCCGAAAGGAGCACGGGTGCGTTCTGCCGGCAGGAGCACGGGTGCGTTCTGCATTGGCCGTGAGACCCGACGCGGGCATGACGACGCTGCAGGGAGGCCCCGTGACTTTGGCACCCCTGCAGGACCGACGAGATCCTCCGCCTGCTGACCGCGCGGGCCTTGGAAGCGGTGCGACGGCATCTTTGGCGGCTGCGCCACTTCTGTCTTCGCCGGCGCCCCCTCCACCTCGCAATTCGGGCGATGCTGACGCCCCGATGCATGGCAACTCAGATGTTGGGCGGCCCAAGGCGCGAGTTTTGGCGAGCCCGACGGCGCCGACTCTAGACGAGGTGGCCGAGCGCAACCTGCGCCACCTCCCGCGCAGAACATGGCGCAGGCCGCCGCGGCAAAGCCGACCAGCGCCGAGCCCCTGAGACCGACGGCCAGATCCCTGTGCCACGCACCGACTACGGGTTCATAGGCGAGAAGTCCGACGCCAAGAAGATCGAGAACAAGACGGCGCCTTTCATCATCATCAAGGATGGCCCGCCTCCTGCGGACACGCGCCGGTTTGACGCCCACGCCGTTCAGAGCAAGGCATGCAGCACGAGTACTCGCACGAGATCGTGGCCCAGTACATAGTCCATGCTGGCCACGCCAAGTTCATCTTCAATTCCGACGGCGAGAGCTCCCTCCTAGCGGTCAAGAAGGCCACGGTTTCGGAGGCGTGCCGCATGGGCTGTGAGATCTCTGCGACGCCCAGGGAGAGCCCGGTCGGCGACTCCCAGAAGTACGGGCACATCGAGCGCGCAACCTGGGAGGTCCAGGGCCTCGCGAGGGCCCTGGTCCACAGGGCGGTGGAGCTCCACAAGGAGAAGTTCCACGCTGCGCACCATCCGGTGGTTTGGGCTCTTCGGTATTCGTCTCAGCTGCTGAGTCGGTTCCAGAGGTCTGGCGACGACGGCAGGACGGCGTTCGAGAGGCGGAAGGGCAGGCCCCGCCGCCGGCGGCCCCCGGAGCATGAGCTTGTGATGTTCTTGACCGACGGCAGCGGCGCAGTCCGAGGCTTGCAGGTCTCGGGTCGAGCAGGCGACGGCGGGCAACACCGCCGCCGCCCAGCGCCTGGGAGGAGCGAAGAGGCGGATGGGGAGACGAGACGCCAGCCGGCCAGGCTGCCCCCCTCGCACCCGGCTCGGCGGCAGCGCCGGGCATCCCAGCACCCGCGCAGGCACGGGCTGCCAGATCGGCGGCGGCTGCAGCGGCTCCTGCCGCAGAGGCGGATGCGATGTCTGAGAGCCCTAACCTTGGCCAGCCGGGCCACGTGGCCACCGAGCCCACGACGCTAGCCACCGAGGCGGGCAATGGCAACATCGCGAGGATGGAGGTACTAGCTCCACCGTTAAGGCCATCAACGCCGACTTGGTCAAGCTTGGCTGCAGTCCGATCTAGCTCTCTCAGCTCGAGTCCAGCCTTGGGAAGGTCGAAGGTATCCGAGGTGTTTGGGCGTGGCAGGTTCCTGGAGCGCGCGAGTGAGTTCGGCCTCGTGCCGGGTTTCGCGCTCGACCTCGGGGCGGGGTGGGGCCCGGGCTTTCCAGCCCAGCGAGGCGAGGCGATGCAGCTCCGAGATCGAGAGCGGCCGTTGCTCCTCATCGGCTCTCCGCGCTGCGCGGCGCGGACGTCCATGCTGAATTCCACATCGGCGAGGGAGGGGCCCATCGAGGGCCTCATGGCGGAGGCGATCGAGCACGTGGGCATGTGCATCACGATGTACAACAAGCAGCTGGAGGACGGCCGTTACTTCTTGCACGACGCTCCGCACACGGCGAGGCCATGGCACACCAGCGGCATTTAGGACCTCCTCGTCAGGAAGGACGTCTTCCACGTGGCCAACGACCAGCGCGAGGCCGGGCAGACAGTTCCGGCCTAGCACGCAACCTGACGGCAGCATGAAGGACATGATCGTCCAGGGGCGCGCTGGCTGGCCCACCAACTATTTGTGCATCGCGAAGGAGCTCGCCCAGTTCCAGCGTAGGAATCGCCACGGCGGCTACCGCGAGCACTATCACCTGCTCGAGGGGAGGGCCAAGCACAGGGCCAACTACCCGCCGGCTCTCGTGGCGGCCATCCTGCGCGGCTTCACGGCGCTGGTCGAGCTGGACAAGATGGCGAGCGGCATGGGCATCTCCGCGGGCAGCCCGGACGAGGGATGCAACGTGGACGCCGAGACCCGCGAGATGCTGCGCATTCCCGAGTACGAGAACATCTTTGATGACGTGACTGGCGCGCAGCTGCCCCCTGAGAAGGTGGCCGCCGCGCGCGTGGCGGAGATTGAGTTTCTCCGCGGCTGCCCCGTCTGCAAGCGCGCGGGCGCTTCCGAGGCGGACGGCCGCGAGATCATCGGTACCAGATGGGTGGGCGCGAACAGAGGCGACTGCGAGAACGCGAACGCGAGGCCGCGGCTGCGCGCGAAGGGGCACAAGTGGAAGAACCCGTGGCTCGAGAACATTTATGTTGGCACTCCACCGCGGGAAGGCGCCAAGATGGTGCTGAGCAAGGCCATGGCGAAGGCCAAGAACCCCAACGGCGGCTTCAAGAAGAAGAAGGTTCTCATCCTTGACATCTCGAGGGCTCACTCTCATCCGCCGGCCAAACGCAAGCTGTTCATCCGTATCCCTCCTAAGGGCGGTGGCGGAGCGGGACTACTGCTTCGCACGATGTACGGCATGAGGGATGCGGCGGCCCGCTGGGGGGAGTACCGCCAGGAGAGGCCGGCCCTGGCTGGCTACAAGGCAAGCATATCCTGCCCTTACGCCTTCACTGACTCCGACAGATCCTCGTCTGGGGCGGCGCATGGCCACGACTTTGTCTTCACGGGCGAGGAGCGGCAGCTCGACGCGATGGCCGCCACGCTGCGGAAGCACATGCTGACGCAGAGGAACACGCTTCTCGGTCCACACCCTTAGGACGACAAGCACGCGACGATCTTGAATCGGCTCATATTTTACGTCGACGGCGACATCACCACCAAGAGCAGGGTCACCATGTAGCCTGACCCTCGCTATGCGCAGATACTCGTTCATGAACTCGGCTTGGGCGGTGATGGCTCCAGGGTGGTGACAACGCCAACAGAGAAGGGTGCGTCCTACTATGATGAGACTCCGCTGCAGGGCTACGAGGAGACGAAGGCATACAGGCCCTTGCATGCGGCTCGGCTTCCTAGCCCAGGACGCGCCCCACTTGCAGTGCGTGGCCAACAAGTGTTGCAAGCACATGGCGGTGTCCACTACTGGCGGACTGGCCCGGCTCAAGAGGGTCGCTCGTTTCCTGAAGGGAGAGCCCCGATGTGCACTTCGTTGAGCAGCACCACGAGGGCAAGCGCATGGACATCTACTGCGACTCTGACTGGGCTGGCGACGTGATAAATCGCAAGAGTGTGAGCTCCGTCTTCGTGTTTCTCGGCTCTCACCTCTTCAAGAGCACGGTGGGCACCCAGGGCGCGACAGCCCTGTCCAGCGGCGAGGCGGAGTTCACGGCCGGGGCAAAGGGCATCTCAGTTGCCCTAGGCGTGCGCTCGCTTGGCGCAGTCCTCGGCATGACGCTGTGCCTTGCGATGCACGCGGGCAGCAGCGCCGCGAAGGGCATCTGCGGCAGGCGCGGCACCGGACGTATCAGGCACTTGCACGCTCCTCTGCTGCGGGTGTAGGAGAAGCCCACGAGGAAGGATATTGACGTTCGGAAGACGCCGGGGGAGTCCAGCCTGGCATGTCTCGGGACCAAGGAGCTCTCGCGCGTGGACGTCGAGAAGCACCTGAAGAACTGCGGCTTCGCCTTTAGAGGGCTCTGGCGGCGCCGATCCCGGTGCCCGGCGAGATTGGTGGCTTGAGCGGCTGCGACCGTGACCGGGCGCCGCGTGATGGCGAGGCGCTCCTGGCTGGGGGGCGCCCGAGGTGCGTTCTCAGCGGGGCCTGGGGCGGCCGCGTCGGCGCGCTGGCTGGCCGTGGCCCCCGCGCTCCACCACCTTCTGAAAAGGGGCTGGCTGAGCCCCAGGCGGCAGGCGCTTTCGGCCGAGCGCGCCTGGAACAGCAGGAGAGCTCGAGGAGGGCTGCAGAGATATCGAACATATGCTTGCGCCTGTCTGCAGCCATCTCGGCAAAAGAATTTAGCAACGCTTGGCCCTTCGGCCGATTTTCTGAGGAGCGAGAGCGCTGATTAGGGAGTCGTCCAGCGGAGCAGCCAGATTCATCAGAAATGGTGGCAGGCGGCACTCTTGCGCCCTCCCCCAGGGCCATGTCGCGAGGATGTCCCAAGCGAGAGCGCTGGTTAGGAAAGTTTTGGCGGAGCCGCCAGATTTGCCGGAAGTGGCGTCGGGAGGCGCTCTTGGGTCCTTCCCAGCCGATCTCGTTTGGAGATTCCGAGCGAGAGCGCCGGTTTGGGAGCTTTCCCGCGGAGCCGCTGGGTCCACCGGAGACGTTGCAGGAAATGCCATGGTTGGCCTCATTCCATCGTTTTTCGCGGGTTAGGACGACGTGAGCTCTACAGTGCTCCTTCGCATGAGGAAGAGGAGGAGGGCGAGGAGAAATGAGACGAGTGATGCAGCTGCCCTTGACCAGAACCCAAGCGCGCGCGAAGCGCGTGTGGATCTAGTCCGACTCGGTCAGCACATCGAGGTCCTCTATTGTCCGCAAAGGACTTCCTAGTTCTATGCCCCCCTCTTCTTCTTATTCCTCCTCCACCTCCTCCTCCACCCTCTAGTTGTGGCGTGGATGGGTCGGCTCTGCCGCACGACGGTATTGATATGTCCGTCCTCTCACGTCTTGTCTCACAATCGTGGGGTTTTCAGCGACATGAGGTGCTGAAGCGTCTTGTGCATCCGATATGGTGGTGCTGTGCCCATGGTTGAACGTTTTGGCCCCCAGTATCTTGGCCGGGACTAGTGGGTTGGTGATCAAACGCGGCCAGTTCCCCATCCAGGCGTCCCTTGCCCGCTGTAGTCTACATTTTGAACGGCGGTTGGACGGACTGGATTCCCTTTTTACTCTGGGGCGCGGGCCTGCCAGCTTAGTCAGTGAGCACGGCCAATTTCATCCAGGCGTTCCCTCCTCGCTGCAGCATCTGGGGCTGGACGGGCTGGATCCACTTCCCAGCCTCGGGCGCGCGTTTCAAAGCGAATGTGCTTGAGATTGACTCGGTCGAGGTGGTGCGTCTTCTTCCGCCAGCGCCAAGAGGAGAGTTGGCGCAGTCACAGAGCAGGCGGTGGGTCGGAGGTTGACAGACCTCCTACCCTGATACGTTGATTAGCGAATTGGCCGTTTGCGGTTCGCGAGAGGGCGTCGCGGCCGTCATTTTTGCGGGTCCAGGTCCGTCGGCTTCGGTCCTAGGCAGTTTTCGCTAAAGGGTGGTTTACTAAAGGGAGGTTTGTCCACCGCCGTGCGGGCGAGGAAAAGGAGATACAAAAGGCAGTGGACACGGGAGGCACAGTCATATCGTTTTGGTCTATTCTAGGAAACGTGCCGCTGGAGGGCGCGCATCCGGACAATGTCTGCCGCGACCGCCCATGGCCACTCGAACGTTCTCGGCGCCGGGCAGGCTCTCGGCTGCCCCCCCACTCACGAGGAGTGATGCACAAAGAGCACAGTGAGCGGGCTTCCAGAACGGCCCGAGCTAAGGAGAAAACGAGAGGGGCCGTCGGCTTCGTCCACGTCCGTAACCGCGGCACCATCTCGCTACCATCGCCATTGCCACCGCCACCATTACAGATGGACAGTCGCCGCCACGATCATGGGCATTGCCAAAGTCCGTGCTGCTCCACTCTGCCGCGGTAGGCGGCCCCTGGGAGTAGGCCCGCGCCCTTCGCCAGGACACCGCAGCTGGGAATCCTCATTCCACGCCGCGCGACGGGCGACAGGGGGGGAGGGGAAGGACCAGGGGAGGGCTCGGCCAGGCGAAACTCGACCAGGCTGAACTCGGCCAGGCTGAACGTGGCGAGGCTGAACTCGGCCCAAGGCCGAATTCGGCCTGGCCGAGTTTAGTTCATTCTGGTGGCAATCAGTTTGTGCTGGGAGGGGGGGAGCACGATATCACGATATCACGATATCGGAAACATGGGCGGGGGGAACACGATATCACGATATCACGATCTCACGATATCCGAAACAAGGGCGGGGGGAACACGATATCACGATGTCACGATATCCAAATCGGAGGCGGGGGGAACACGATATCACGATATCACGATATCTCCCTATCGTGATATCGTGATATTGTGTTCTCGTGCTTTCGGATTTTCTAAACCAGCAGAACATATGAGAATATGCGAGCCAGACCCAATTCCCACACACGAGCGCACCGTGTCGGAATTAGCTTCTCCACCATCAGATCGTGATATCGTGTTCTCGTGCGTTGGGCTCCCATCCTTTGAGCATCCCTCATCGCGTCCTCGCGGCCCCGGCCTGAACAGCGTGAGATTGCCATGCAGAGCGGTGGCGTCGCGTGTCAATCTTATGTTGTCCCCTCCAGGGCCGCGAGGAAGCCAGAAGGGGAAGGGCGGGCGATCCCGGCCGCTCCGAGGGTGGACCGAGGCCGACCGAGCAAGGAGGAAGAGGAGAAGAACGAGGGCGACGACGAGAGGGGGAAATTGACACGGGCAGCCAGTCTCAAAACAGGACCCCGGAGGGAACAACATAAGAGTGACATGCGCAGCGGCTGCTGCGCATGCATGTCAATCTTATGTCGTTTTCCCGAGGACCGCGAGCATGCGAAGAGGGAAAGGGCAAGCGATCCCGTTCGGCCTGAGCTTAAGCAGAGGCCGATCGAGGAGGAGACAAAGAGGATGAGCACGAGGACGACCACGAACCCTTAGGGCTTCACCCTTGGAGCCCAAACATCACGTACTGTAGGATACGAGGCTGTCATGTGGACGTGCTTGGGTGGTAGGGTCTAGCGTAGTGGCCGTGCGAGCATGAGAGGGTAGATGATGCCATCACGGCTCAGCATGCCCTTTAAGCGATAGCACAAAACAAACACTGAAAAGGAGAGGCCAGTATATGCGCATCGGTTAGTTTAGAAATTGCAGGAAGCCGTAGGTAACATGTTGCACAACATACAATGCGATAGCAGGACAACATTAGGATGGTCAAGAGTAGGCGTATTGAGGTGCCCTCCTTCTGGACTCATTTTGAGCCCCCATCGTGGCGCCCTGGCCTCTCATTCGGGACCCCTGCCCGTGAAGGCAGCCTCCCTTGGGGTCCCCCTTGTGACCTTGCCCTTGGGGTTCTAGCTTGGAGCCTACGATTGGGTTAGGGGAGAGGGGCTTGCCTGATGGCCCAGGTGGTGTAATCCATGTGGTGCAACACTTTGGCACTGAACACTGCAACGAGGGGCATGCTGAGCCATGATGGCTTCATCTACCCTCTCATGCTCGCACGGCCACGGCGCTAGAACTACAACCCAGGCACGTCCACATAACAGCCTAGTATCCTACGTGATGTTTGGGCTCCAAGTGAGGGTTCGTGGTCGTCCTCGTGCTCGTCCTCTTTGTCTCCTCCTCGATCGGCCTCTGCTTAAGCCCAGGCCGACCGGGATCGCTTGCCCTTTCCCCTCTTCGCATGCTCGCGGTCCTCGGGAGAACGACATAAGATTGACATGCGCAGCAGCCGCTGCGCATGTCACTCTTATGTTGTTCCCTCCGGGGTCCTGTTTTGAGACTGGCTGCCCGTGTCAATTTCCCCCTCTCGTCGTCGCCCTCGTTTTCCTCCCCTTCCTCCTTGCTCGGTCGGCCCCGGTCCACCCTCGGAGCGGCCGGGATCGCCCGCCCTTCCCCTTCTGGCTTCCTCGCGGCCCTGGAGGGGACAACATAAGATTGACACGCGGCGCCACCGCTCCGCATGGCAATCTTACGCTGTTCAGGCTGGGGCCGCGAGGATGCGATGAGGGGAGCCCGAAGGGCGGGAGCCCAACGCACGAGAACACGATATCACGATCTCACGATCTGGTGGTGGAGAAGCTAATTCCGACACGGTGCGCTCGTGTGTGGGAATTGGGCCTGGCTCGCATATTCTCATATGTTCTGCTGGTTTAGAAAGTCCGAAAACACGATAACACGATATCCTGATGTCACGATATGGAGATCGTGATGTCGTGATACCGTGTTCCCCCCGCCTCCGATTTGGATATCGTGACATCGTGATATCGTGATATCGTGTTCCCCCCCGCCCCTGTCTCTGATATCGTGATATCGTGATATCGTGTTCCCCCCGCCCCTGTTTCGCATATTGTGATATCGTGATATCGTGCTCCCCCCGCCCTTGTTTCGGATATCGTGGTATAGTGATATCTTGCGGCGGCAATATCCGCAAACTGTTCGCCACTACTCTGGTTTAGTTGCTGCCGAAGGGGGGGTCGTTACACGAGCTGGTTCTCGGGCGTCGTCCGGCAGCCAGCTGGACGATTTGAGCCAACAAGGCACACGCAATGCCACCCCCGCGATTACCCGCCCAGGTCTCAGCCTCCCAGCTGTTGTCTCTAACTGTTCCTAGCCCTGCTGTGTCGGATGCTCGTTTTGAACAGAGCGCTACTGCTCCTCTCCCGACCTCTCCCGCTCTCTCCTCCTGTGTCCTGTTGCCTCCTCTTGCCTCCTGCCTCCTACTTGTCTCCTGCATCGTCTCTCTGGCACCCTGGGTGCTACATACTATTTGTTGCCAATGGCGCAGCTGCCGCCATTTCCCTGAGCATGTGGGGGTACAGTGGAGTGCAGAGTTACGCGTATCTTTGGGGAACTTGCTAGGCTGTGCCACCTGCTACCTCTATCCAGACGCGACCCTGCTCTCTCTCTTTGCGCGCTCTCAACTGTGCGATTGTCGCCATATTCATGAATTCGGGAGGGGGCCAGCGGAGTCCAGTGCCATCCAAATCCAGGCGGGACCACCTCGCCTCCCGCGTCCTGCCAGCAGCAAGAGACCACTTCTTTATTGCTTGGGGTATAACGGGCGTCATGGCCCCCGCCCCCCCCTCCCCTATGACGTAACGCTCCCCCCCCCAGTGCGCTCCGGGCACCGCCGCCGTGCGTATTGGGATCCGCGTAGGAATCCGCATAGGAGTCTGGTCCGCAGTCGTCGTCGTCGTCGTCGTCGTCGCTCGTGGCTCGTCGCTCGTCGCTCGTCGCTCATCGTCGTCGCCGTCGTGCGCGCGGACGCGGCTGGAGCCTTTTTTTTATTCCGGGCCGATGACGGCAATCATCTGTGGGGGGGTGGAGGGGGTCGATGACGTGACGCTTCGCGCCGGCGGCGCCTGGGAATGCCTAAGAATGACAGAGGACGGGTGGCGCCAGCATGTAGGTGGCGATCTGCACCACAACGCCTGTGTACATTTCAGTGCCTGCGTGCACCTCAGCGCCTGTGTACACCACACCGCCTATGTACACCACAGCAGCCGCGTGCAACACAGCTTCAGTTTGTGCCACCGCGCGCGGGCACAACAGCTCTTGTGTACACCACAGCGCCTGCGTACACCACATCAGCCGTGTGCAACACAGCAGTGTACACAACAATGCCTGCGTGCATTGCAGTTCCTGTGTAGACCGCGGCGCTTGTGTGCACCACAGCAACCGTGTGCAACACAGCACCACTGTTGTATGTAAAGGAATCATTATGACAAAATGGAGCGTTTGTGGATTCCACCAAAAACAGCAGAAAATAACCCTTATGGACAGGACCGTAACTCTCCCATCTGCGTCCAGGCGGCTCCAGCTAAATTGGCCGTCCGAGAACCAAGTGGGCCGATTCAAAAGACCATTCTGCGGGGCACGCTGCGTTGCGCACGTGCGCTGTAGCGCCAACCCGCACGACAGGGGGTAAGGAGGAGGAGGAGGAGGAGGAGAAAAAGGAGGAGGAGGAGGTGGAAGTGGAGGAGAAGGGAAGAGGGAAAAACGTCGCATTCGATTATCAGCACTTTCCTGGCGTGGCGCTTCCGCAGCAGATCCTCACGTACAGGTTCCTTCTACCTGTCCTATGCACGCAGGCATTGTGGTGTACAGTAGCGCTGCGTTGTACGCGGATGCTGTGGTGTAGACAGGCGGTGTGGCGTGCACAGGCGCCGCGGTGCACGCCAGCATTGTGGTGTACACAGGCGCTGTGTTGCACATGGTTGCCTCTGGTGTGCAAATGTACACCGGCGCTGTAGTGTACGCAAGCACTGCAGTGTACACAGGCGCTGCGTTGCACACGGTTGTTGCGATGTGCGCAGGTGCTGTAGTGTACACGCGCGCTGTGGTGCACGCGAGCGTTGTGGTGTACACAGGCGCAGGGGGGCAGATCGCCACCTGCATCGTCGTCGTCGTCGTCGTCGTCGTCGCTTGTCGCTCGTCGCGTCGTGCGCGCGGGCGCGGCTGTGGTGCCGGAGCCACACGGCGGGCGGGGGGGGCGTTACGTCATACCCCCCCCGCCCCCCCCCCCATAACGCCCGTCATCGCCGAACATTAAGAAACGCTTTCCAATTGTCAACGAGTTTGTGAGCTCGTGGGGTGTCAGCGGGGTGCGGCCCGACGCGGTTCCACGCGGGACTTAGCGTTCCCTTGGTACTGCCAGTTGCAGAAGTGCGGTCGTGTTCGCGAGGGGGGTCCAGCGGAGCGCGGCCCTACGCAGACCCACGCGGGATCTCGCCTCCGCGTGTTGGTGCCAGGTGAGCTGCCGTCAGCAGTTTCGTGAGCTCTTGGGGGGCTCCAGCGGAGCGCGGTCCGACGCAGACTCATGCGGAAACCTCACATTCCTTTGTTGTGCCAACTGCGCAACTGTCGCCGCCTTCGTGGGCTCGTGGGTGTGTCTGGGACTGCTTCATGCCGATGAGAACGGTGATGAGGGGGAGCAGGAGTTGACGGAATTTCCAGCGGTTCTTGGTTGCAAGGGGCGTCCGTGATTCCGTCTGTAGTGGAGGAGGGTAATGTCAGCGCCAGCTTTGCGGATACCCCGTAACGCGAAAAACCCGATCGTAGACCAGAGTAAGCATGGGATGCATCGACGATGTTGCAGTACACCCGCCCGTCCCAAGTCCGCTGGCCGAATGACCCTGGAAGCATGTACTTTCAATGCCAGAAGCGGCGCCCCCTTGAAAGACGAACGCCCCGCGAGCATGCCAGTTGGGCGAAAAGGGCCGCTGCTCGTGCAGCCAGGCTGGTGAGAATTGCCCAGGGGCGCGATCGTGAGATCAAGGACGTGCCCATCGGTAGTTCCGCCTTGACAAGTGGTTGAGCAGCTGCCTATACGCAAGCTGTTCGAGGCAGTCTCAGCGACTCAGCGAGAGCTTCATTTCCAAATGGAGCGTCGATCAATTCGCGCAACTCTTGCATTACGTCAAGCATTTGGCAATCTGTGTTGAAGAAGTTGTGTGGGAGATCGCCGTATTTGTGCTCGGCGCCAGTGCGAAACCGCATATGCACGTGAGAAGGGACCGTCCCTCTCTGCGTGGCTGCTCGAAGCTGTTGAGATGAACCTGCTCGGCTCCACGCCCGGCGGAACAAACAACCGTTCCCCCCGAGGTCAACGTGGCCTCCCGGCTCTCGTTGTTCCTCCGCTCAGTATCGTTTCACCGACCCCCATCCCCATCCCCATCCCTCTCGAGACCCCTACCAGATTACCCCCCAGTTAGGGATGCACCCCTCGAAACCCGAAGGGAACGACCTATATCCCCATCTAGGGGGTAAATCGACCAGGGGGGCCCAGGCAACGCCGCTGGGGATGGGGATCGGTTAAACAACACTCATCCGCGCTGGCCCTCGGGTGCAGCGTGGGCCCGGGCCCTCTCGTGCCCGCAGGTCTACCTCGACGCGCTCCTCGGCGCGGGCAACGGAGTGGCCACGCACGTCATTGTCAAGAGGCTTGCAGTGTAGGGGGGGAGGGGGGGAGAGGAGGACCATCACCATGAAGGAAAGGGGTCCTGATGGCAACGGGCCCTGTATGTGTTCCCCACCCGTGAAGTTGGTTCGATGCCTGTTCATGGGAGCCTCGGGCGGCGACATTGAATCAGCACTTCCTGCATTTGGACCGCATTGGGACCGCATTTGGCCCTTCCTGCTGCTCCTCGCCCTGCCTGTTCCTCCTCCCCCTTCTCGTTCGTCGCGTCTCCCTGGTCAAGGGGCGAACCTGGTCCAAAGCCTGTCCAAATCTGGTCCTACATGTGGTCCAAGTCAGGTCCAAACCCGTCCCACATCGAACATCGCCGAGGGTCACGCAGGCTCTCCTGGAACAGGTACCAAAAGATGGGCGGTAGATTCAGAGGTCAGAGCCCCCGACCCGCATCACCCACCCTGCGTACTGCTGCCGCCGTGCTTCAAAGTATCTTGGTGCTCCCTGGGTATCCCGCCTCGCGTCTCCGGCAAGTGCCGACCACACACCGCGGCCGCCAGGCCCCACTCATCCCAGCGCTCCGTCGTTTTCGGTGTTCCTCCCGCCTCGCGCTCTCGGGTGGGGGGTCGCTCGATTCCCAGTTTTGGTTCCTCTGTTTCGGCCTCCTCCGTCGAACATCGGCTCAGGCAGCAAGGCTGGTCTCGGGGAAGGCCCCTGGGGTCCAGGACGCCTGTCCGCTCGGGACCTGTCTCTTTCGTGCCAGCAGAATTGAGAAGGAACAGATATTGATACCACTGGTTTTTCCCTCGTCTTGTCCCTTTTGAGCCTTCTGGAGGGCCCTCGCCGCCACTGCTGAATAGAATTCGAAATCTTTGTCAGAACGCACACCGTGAGATGCGCGGGAAGTAGCGGCATCGGTATTTTTTATTCCCCAGGGGAGGAGAGATGAGGAGGATAGAGGACGAAGGAGCATGCGGAGAAGGCGGAGGTAGTAGGGGCAGGGTCGAGGACGAGAGAGGAGGGATCGGAAAGAAGAGTAGGAGGCAAGAGGCTGATGATGAGGGGGACGAGGAGGAGAGAAGCAGGGAGAATCCCTGGATGAGAATGGTGTGGATAATGAGGATGACGACCTGTTCTCATGGAGACAGCAGACGTCCAGCCACAGACGCAAGTCAGAAACTTCATCATCGACAGGTGACCCCCCTTGGAATTGGCCTGAGCTGTGCCTTTGAGCAATGTGGGCGATGCCATGCGTGGCGTCTGTGCCGACTTCGAAGGTGTGGCAAATCATGTGCCCACCACGCGATGCACTGAGCTTGGTCATACAAGTCTCGACAGAACTCACGAGGCCAAAGTGGAGCCGCGCAGCAGGGAGTCTGCCCTCCGCCTTCCAGAGATGAAGCCGGCGCATCACGCCCGTCCACTCTGGAGGGGCCGCTCGACAGCGAGTGTCCAAATGCACCTCTCGAGTTTGAGGGGACCGCCCCCGGACGACTTATCGTAGGAAGCCACCCAGCGGCGGCGTCGCGCCAGTGGCGACGAGACCTGCAGGACGCAGACCTGGACCCCGACCTCCTCCTCCTCCTCCTGTCCATCTCGGGAGGGCGGCAGAAGATCAACGACCAATGACGCGCTGCTGCTGGGAGCCCGCCAGCGTGTGGCCCCCTTGTTCTCCTCAGCGTCGCCGGCACTCCTCCGCAGCGGGCACGTGCTGATGGGGCTCCCCGCGGCGGCGCGCCATCGATGCGCTCTTGCCCCCAAGCCATCCGCCTCCCTACCGCATGCGAACGTGGAGCAGAGCACCGGGCTTTCTCGTGCCCTGTGATTCGGATGCTCTGCCCAGCAGCCCCCTTGCACCGAGGCCCACGGTGTGTGCGGCCTCGCGCCCTCGAGCGGCGGAGGCCTCGCGCGCCGGCCTGCGCAGCCTCCCCTCCCCCCGGGGCATGCCCGGCAGGGCGTCTGGCTGCGCACAGACAGCACCCACAAGAAGTCCCGGCGGTTGTCAACACCTCAGCGCTGCGGCGCGGAGTGCCCCAGGGGCGCCGCCGGAGGCGGCGCCAGGGTGTCGAGACCTGCTGAGGCGGCCCTGGGCCACTTGGAGGGGCCTGCTGAGGCCCGCTGGGGCTACGCGGGGGGCTGTGGAGAGCAGCCGGGACTGTGCCTGGGGGGAAGGGGGGTTGCCAGCGTGCAGCCCGCAGCCTCACCCGGGCGCCCCCATGGCGTGCCATGGGGGCACCTCGCACGCGGCATCAGTCCTCCCCTCTTGATGGGCCTGTTTTCCACCACCACCACGACCATAAGTTGGAGGGGGGAAGTCCGGGAAGAGTAGGAGGAGGAGGAGGAGGAGGAGGAGGAGGAGGAGGAGGAGGAGGAGGAGGACCCCCTCCCCCTCCTACTTCTGGTGGTGGCGGCGGAAAACAAGCCCACCACCCCTCCCTTCCCCGCGAGGTTTCTCGGCGTCGGGGGCGACGGCGCGGAGGTCGAGGCGCCCCGGCTCCGGCCAGGAGACGGGACGGAGAGCGGTGGGGCGGAGGAGGGGCTCTAGACGGTAGGGTGACCGTGGTGAGCCAGAGGAGACCAGAGCCCGCTGGGGGTCCCAGGTGTCCCAGCACTGGTTCGGGTACGAGGTTCTGGGTTCGATGTTAGGTTTTTCGGGCCCCGGGACCGTCGAAAGAAGATCCCCGTCGGAAAATTGCACCAGGTGGACCCCGGGAGGGGTGCGTGGTGAGGGGACCGATTTGGAGCGGGTTTGCCCTGCCCCCTTCTTGACAGGGCTTCTCGAGGTCCATCCAGTGCAGACCTCCTGGCGGCCTCCTGGTTACCGTCGTGAGTCAGCGGGGATTTCGGAGTGGTTTCGCGGTTTGGGGACTCGGGTCGTTCTCCGAGGACGCCTCGGGCAGCTGGGGCCTTCGGGGGCCCCCCCGAAAAAACAGTGCGGTGACGGGCCGTGCGGTGGGTCTTCGCGGGTGCCGAGGTCACCGCACGGTCTGTCGCCGCACCGTGCTGGGACCCCCAGGGGTCGAGAGTCGAGAATTGGTTTTCATGGGCCTGTTTTCCACCACCACCACCACCACCACCACCACCACCACCACCAGAAGGGGGAGTGGGGATGGAGGTGGAGGATGAGGAGTAGGATGAGAAGGAAGAGGAGGGGGAGGAGGACCTCCTCCCCCTCCTACTTATGGTGGTGGCGGTGGAAAGCAATCCCAGCAGGTCTGCTGGTCCCGGGGGCCCGGGTCCAGAAAGAGGACGGTTAAAACATCAAGAGGGCACAAAACAAGCGCGCGACTGCTTGCCACCAGCACCGAACGATGCCAGAAGGAATTGCGACATCTAGTAGCGCACAGGCCTTCGAGCCGTTCTCTTTTCAAGTGGCAGTTCGCCAATTGGCTCCTGGATGGGAACTTTGGGGCCAAGCGTTTTGGTTATGATTTGTGCGAACCGACGTCGACAGGGTTGATTGTTAGACAGACTTAGACGGATTCCGCGATCCCGCCCATGCCGAACAACGAGACGCAGAGCGCACCCAGCGGAGCGCTGACCACGACACGACGCGGCCTCAGTGTCTCTGCATTTGCCCTCGCAGGGTCTAGGAGGAGAAGAGTGTGTGGGACGATGGGGGAGAAGACGGCTCGAAAGTCCCCATTGAGCAGGGATCTAGTGGAGTGCGAGGGGCGCTGATGGTGCGCCGCGAAGGTGGCAGCGCGCTCACTCTGAGGAGGCAGGCTCAGGGAGGGGGAGGGGCGGGGGGGCGCCCGTGCCTCTGGAGGCGGGGGTCTGGCCAGTGGGCCATTCGTGTTTGCCCTTTCTTCACGAGCCCCCGTTCCGCGGATCAGATTCTCTGCCCGCCCTCGTCCGCGCATGGCTCCTCCCCTCATCTCTCCTCCCTCCTTTTAGGGGTTAGTGCCCACCCCGCCCATGAAGATTCCCGTTGGTGATGCCCGTGTTGGTTATCCATGACTTTTTTTTTGTTCTCTCTCTCTCTCTCGCTTTCCAACTATGTTCCTGTCCTTCCCGAAGATCGCTCTGCTACCGGGTGGGCAGCTCTTGCATCCACCTGGCGCTTCTCTGCGGGGCCATCTGCCCCAGCTGCGGTTCCATCTCGGGGTGCAGTCCGTACGTGCCCGCCGAGGATGGTTTTTCCCCACTCCTCTCTCTGTCTGTTTGTACGTGTATAAACATCTATATCTATTATCGGTACATGTCTCTCTCTCGCTCTCTCTCTCTCTCTCTCTCCCTCTGGCTCTCTCCCTCTCTCTCGCTCTCTCTCTCTCTCTCTCTCTTTTTCGCTCTCTCTCTCTCTCGCTCTCGCTGTTTCTCTCTCTCTCTCTATCTCTCTCTTTCTCCCTCCCCCCCTTTCCCCCCTCCGCGCCAGGCCCTCCCTCCCTCCATTTCTAACTCCCTCGCCCCCCCGCTAATTTTCCCCAAACAGTGCGTGCACCCATGCGATATTGTTTGCAAGTGTGGGTTGGGACGTGTGGGTGGACGTGTCTTTGGATGTGGTTTCGGACGCGCACTTGACTGCGGGTTAGACGTTGGTGTTGACGTAGTTTGCAACATGTTGGCTTGGACAGGGGCTTGGGCGCTGCTTTGAACGTGGGCCAGGTTTCCACACACAGACACACACACACACACACACACACTGTAAGTCCGCGGGCGCTAAGTGGTCCAAGACAGTCAGACGCTGGTCAGCAAGCAGTTGGATATAATGAAGGCGAATTGAGGCACGAAAGCGAAAGGGACAGAGCGCGAGTGAGAAGAGGGAGGAGCCCGGTCAGACGTCAGACCATGAACGTTGGCGCGGGGATGCCGAAGAGAAACTTGCATGCGAGTGACGTGCGAGCAGCGGGGGCCGGAGCCAGCTTGATGTGGAAGGCCTCGACGAGGTACGGCGCCGAGGGGAGGAGGGGCACGAGCGACCAGTGCGGGCGAGTGGGACCGGGTGAAGTGGCGCAGCAGATTTGCGTTTCAGCGGAACCGAGGACCGTGCAGAAGAAGGCCTTGAAGTGGCGAGCTGGAAGAAGTCGCACTGGAACGGGTACAGAAAGTCCGGAAGTTGAGGGCCCGGGGGCTCAGAGCAGAGCCGAGCAAAATTGCCCAGACAGACGCACCGAATGAAAGGTGGAGCGGTGACGGTCGGGAAGACGCACGGGTTTCGCCGCCGGGCGGCGGAGGGCGTGGCAAAGATGACGAACGCAGGAGCGCTTTCCTTTGATGGGCCTGTTTTCCACCACCACCACCATAAGTTGGAGGGGGGGAAAGGAGGTGGAGGACGAGGAGGAGTAGGACGAAGAGGAGGAGGAGGAGGAGGAGGAGGAGGAGGTGGAGGATGAGGAGGAGGACCCTCTCCCCCTCCAACTCACGGTGGTGTTGGTGGAAGGCAGGTCCATCACCGTTGTTCCAGGGTCAGAACCCGTTGCCGAAACGCACTAGGAAGACTCTGTGGTGGCAGCCTGGGGGCAGCGACCAGGACTGGTAAAACAGGGTATGAGAAGCAGACAGAGCCGACCAGGCACAGCGGGTGGGAGGCTGGGTGACGGTCAAGGGTACGCAGCGCCCCAGAGCGAGGGATGCGAAGTGGACGACGCCCGTGGGGTCCACCCCTTGCCAAACAACACGGGGCGGACCCTTGCCGAACACGACGGGCAGCGCAGGCGGTAGAGGACGAGGAGGGGCAGCGCCCTGGCGTCGCGGCCGGGGAGGGAGGGGACGAGGGAGGAGGTAGGGGCAAAAGGCCCGAACCACGTGGAGAAAAGACATGGCTGCAGCGGTCGAAAAGTCCACGCAACGTGAGAGCGTCAGGGTAACTGGGTGAACAAGTAACAGAAAGACCAGGCAGGGCGAAAGCCCGAACGTGATGGAGCAGCTGAGAGCACGGAGGAACACCAAGTGGGGGCCTAGAGCTCGGTATTTGGGAGCGCAGAGGGGCGCGAGGGTTATCGCAGTGGGGTGCTTGGCCCTCATCGCTCGTCATAGCGGCCTCTTTTGTTGTGCTCCCAGTGGTCGCGCTGCGTCGGGGCAGTGCCTGAGCTGTTCCGGCCCGCGGTCTTACCGTTGCCCTTAGCTTTGGCGCTTTCCTTGTGACCTTAGTGACAAGCGGCGAAACAAGAACTGTTGACCCGCAGGTGCCTTTCCCCAGAATGGCTTTCACTGAGGGGTCCGACTTGTTTGTGAAGTGTTGGTGGGTGCTGGTCGCGGTTGGCCCTGGTGTTTCTCTGGGTTCCCTGGTCTTGTTGCCTCATAAGGGGGTTCCTCGGGGATTGGCTGGATTTGTGTCCTTGCAGGGTATTGCGCAGGGTTGCTAGGTCATGTGTCCAGACATGGCGTTGCGCAGGTTTGCACCGTCGTCTTGTTTCCCACTTAGGCTACGCCTAGGGGTTATCCTTTGTTTGTGAAGACTGGGTGGGCGCGGTCGGCGGTCGTTGCGGCCTTCCCAGAGGTTCCCCCCTGAAGGTTCCTCGGTTTTGTTTCCGTAGCCGGGCCTTCGGTTCCCTCGTCTCGTTTCTTGCCTTCATTCTTAGGGTTGCCCGGTTTTGTTGCCCGGGCTCTATGGTATTCTTCTTTGTGCTGCTTTGTTTGATTAGTGTTCTTGTCTTGGGTTTCTCGGGTTTCCCTGTCTTGTTCCTTGATTGGGCTCCTCGCGTTACCCGATCTTGTTCCTCGGGATTGCCGACATTGCAAAACAACGCCAACCCATGCAAAACAATGGCACGCAATGCCAAGCAGTGCCAATCAATGCCAGGCAACGTCAAGCAATTCCAAGCAATGCCAAGCAACGCCAAGCCATGCCAAGCAACGTCGAGCAATGTCAAACAATGCCAAGCCATTTCAAGCACCGACAAGTAATGCACCGATGAAATGGGAAGCTTTCGCCTCTCAAGGGCCTCTTGCACGGATCTGGGGCGCGTCCTGGTGTTTCTCTTGTTGCCTCGTGGGTGTTTGTTGTGATATTCTTCTGCGCCGTCGGGGCCTTCTTGATGCAATCTCGGGACATCGTTGCGGTCTTGGCGGCGCTCCGGGGATGTTGTGAGAGCTGTCTTGGCACGTTCGAGGCCACGGAGCCCGCCAGGGAGGCGTGAGTCCCGGGAGGGGGGGCGCGCGCACCCAGGCGCGAGAGCGTCAAAGGGAGGGAGTTTCCAACCAACAATGGTCATGCTCCTCCTCATCCCCCTCCCATTTCCGTAGCCATTTTGGCTCAAGATGTTTACGCCCCGCGGTGTCCAAATGGATACCGCTGAGCCGCGGCCAGCTTCGGTCTCTGTTTCGATCCTGCCACAACCACGGGCTTGCAGGCGCCCGCTTCCATATTCTTCCCTCGCACTCGTGTGTGTGGTGGCCTCCATATTCCGCGCTGGGCAACAGCTTCGCGCTCCATATCCTTTGGCAAGCTGCTGGGCGCCGAGTATTCCATGCGTGCCGAGCCCGTCCCCTCCATGTCTGACGTCCCCGTGCCTGCTGCAGCAGCTGAATCAGGAGCCGGAGACA